TTTGTTAGTCTTTCTTTCATCACCATGTTTTGCCTTAATCATTCAGCAAGCATACGTTTATATTAACTCATAGTTTGGTTACTTTCATATTAACCCTTATATGCATTACTTATATTATGGTACGTGTGTGTTTTAAGATATGCATGCCATAAATGTTATATATGCTATATATTTTAGTTTACACCACACAAGCTAATATTAAATGAATTAGGTAGTACATTACTTTTATTATTATTATTATTATATTATTATTATTATTATTATTATTATTATTTATACATGAGTCTTAACATATATATATATATATATAAAGTATTTCCTAACCCGATATTTATATATTGTTAATTTATTTATTTATTTTATAAATATCCATATGCCAATATTTCTATGTCTCATTCGATATTTTCAAGGACATCTATCATATAATGGGCATGAAAAGAACCACATGATATTTTCAAGGATATTTATTTGACCTACCTAACTCAAATGTCGATGGTGTCTCAAAATTTCAAATTAAATAAAAATATAATTTTTCCAAAATAAAATCATAACTATTTTAAAATTCATTTTCATAAAAAAAATATGGTTATAACAGCAGGGATGGTCTTAAACATCCTCCTAATTTAGGGATTAAAATGCATTAAAACCTAAAGTGTAGTATCTAATATTAAAACCTAATCAATTTTAACAACTTATCGAAACGAATAATTAACTTGGAACCTCGAGAAAAAAGGCAACGACTAAATTAAAAAAATTCACCTAAATTGAAGGACTAATATGAAATTAAAATTAAGGTAAATGTTCTAATACTAAAACCTAATCAATTTTAACAAGTTATTGAATCTAATAATTAAATTGGAACCTCGAGTAAAAGGCGATGACCAAATTTCAAATTCACCTAAATTAAATTACTAAGGTGAAACTAAAACTAAGGTGAAGACTCTAATATTAAAACTTAATAATTTTAACAAATTATTGAATCGAATAATTAACTTGGAACACCAGGCAAAAGGAGAGGACCAAATTAAAAATGCACCTAAATTAAAGGGTTAAGGTGAAATTAGAACTAAAGTGAAGGCTCTAATATTGAAACCTAACGAATTTTAAGAATTTATTGAATCAAATAATTAAAATAAAACTTCGAGTATAAACAAATATTCTTTTAAATGTTCTTTTAATTAAGTTAAATTTAAAGACCTAATTTATTCAATAAAATCTGAAGATTTCATCTAAATCAAACGTACTTGTGAGAAACTTTAAAAAACATGTCAGGTACTAATAAATTTTAAATTACGCGTAAATATTTTAAAACAATACACTAAAATATATGGTACATAACGTTATTAATTAATACACACTAACACGAAGATATTAGCGTAAAATCAAGCCCTGTTAATGAATAAATTAATGAATATGCATATATTATATCCATGAAATAATATAAAACGTGTTACATGTACATGTAATATATATATATATATATATATATATATATATATATATATATATATATATATAAATAATGCAAAATATAAGAGTCAAATGGGATAAAACATCAGGCATCAATTTAGGGATCAAAATTAAATACAAGCAAAGTGATGTGCTCAAATTAAAAGGAAATAAAATTTGATTTAAGGACCAAAATAAAAGGTTTACAAAATTAGGACCCTCCTTGCACTATTAACCAAGCATTGATACAGAGCACTCTCCCCTAAACGTGTTGTTTTGAAGCATGTATGTAAGGTCAAAATAACTCCTAAAATGAAACTTTGCCAAAAGAGTAAACTTATCCTATCCCTTTTCCTACTCTCCCTTGACTAAAAGAACCGCACGCGGCACCGATTGCCATAAATTGGCACTAGCGACATAAAACTACCCCAAAATACCTCATTTTAAATCCAAAACTCATTAAAAAAAACCCTAAAAAATATATTCTAACATCAAAATTTCCACACACAAAAATGGACCTTATCTCACTTTTTAGACCCCAAGCACTCGACCCTAGTCTAGATCTAAAAGGTTTGAGAAAGATACCTTTGGTAGCTTGTGGTTCTTGACTTGAAAGAGCAACATCAACTTTCGAGAGATAAGGTTTCGTTTAATTGATCTCTTCTATCCTATCGTGTTTCTTCCAATTTTTGCTTGGTTGGGTTTTGTGATGAACAATGGTGATTTTCGTTCCTTTTTTTTTTGTTTTGCTCAAAAATCTCCTCCCCCAACTGATATTCATCGTGCATGTTATAAAGGGGAAAATGTTTCCAATTTTTATATGATTTTTGGTTTTTCAGACCTGAAGAGGAGGGGCATGCGACGAAGACCAAACTTGACGAAAATGGTTGTGATGCAATCCAAGGAAGGGAAAAAAAGTAACCTCGATGCATTCATGGTTTCTCCTAACAACCAACGAAAAATGTGACGATGATGATATCACCATCGAGTTTGGGAATCTGAGCGGTTACAAGTGAATGAGGGATAATTTCAACCATTGGATCAAATTTGATCCAATGATAGAAGAGCATTGACAGTGGTCGGATGATGATACTAGGGTAGAAACCCTAGGTTCCTTTGTATTTAGGTCATTGGATCTGGCTAGATCTAATGGCTGGCAAGTGGAGTGACTAGGATTAAAAACTGGAACCCTTATTGCTAATAGGTCTTCATGTGGGCTTGAATTAAAAACTGGAACCCTTATTGCTAATAGGTCTTCATGTGGGCTTGACTGATGGATATAATGTTTTGTAATTGGGTTGTTCGGTGTAATATGGGTTTAAAATATGGTGATTACAACTTCCCATTTTTATTCATTAATGTGAAACAGAAATAGTGCAAAAACATAAAGCATTAATTTTATCTGATTGGATTGTCAACCAATCTCGAGCTCTCAGTTCTTCTCATTATGAACCATTCACTTTTTTGCAAGACACGATTTGCCTTCGCTATTCTAAAAGGTTGAGCATGCTCTTCTCATTACAATACTTCAGTTTTCCCGTACAAATTTAACTCCTCATTTGAAAGATTAGATCAATTCTTCTCATTATGAATTTTCCATTCCTCCAAAATAATTGTTGAGGTTGAACAAGCTCTTTATATGAATTTTTTTCTCTTGGTAACTTCCTCCTATGTAAAGACTAGATAGGTTCTTCTAATATGAACCTTGTTGAGATTGAACAAGTTCTTCTCATTACGAACTTCTTTCTTTTCGACTGAGTTCTTCTTATTATGAGCTTCTCTTCTTTTCGGCTGAGTTCTTCTCATTATGAACTTCTTTCTTCTTTTTGAATAAGTTCTTCTCATTATGAACTCTTTTGAAAAGTTTGATTCACCTTTTATTCTGTGAAGGACTTGGATTGGTAGGACCTTCTTCTTTATCAAATGAGTGTGTAGACTTAAAGGCTTAATTTCTTTGTTAATCTTCATGAATTCCTGTAAAAAAAAGTAAGAATGATTTGAATGTATACGTATGTCCCTATTTATGAATACCTAATGATGCATGTATGATTCATTTTTAGTAACACTAGTTTTAATGTCTTGCAAATCTTCACTTCATTTTCTAACTTAAATCTTCACTTCATTTCTAGCTAAAATCTTCTTTTTCTTGCTCTGTTGTACACTTGGGCTCAGCTTTTCTTTCTAATCCCTGCTTTTGTTTTAGTCATTTCCTTTCTTTTTTTCATTTTCCCTTTCATATTTCATTTCTCTTTATTATTTATTGGCCCCAGTAATGACTTCCTGACAAGTATTTGTTTTGCTACATTGAATTGCCAACATTTACTGTCAATTTCTTCTTTTCGGCTAAGTTTTCTCATTATGAACTTCTTCATTCTTCGTAATGAGTTCCTCTCATTAAGAATTCTCTTTAAAAACGGTTGATCTACCTTTCCTCCCGTAAAGGACTTGGATTGATGGGACCTTCTTCTTTGTCAAATGAAGGTGTAGACCGAAAGGTTTTTTGTTAATCTTCTTCAATTCCTGTCAAAAAAGTAAATTGATTTAAATGTATGCAAGTGCCCTTATTTATGAATGTATGTATGATTTCATTTTAGTAACATAAGTTCCATTGTCTTACAAATCTTCACTTTATTTTCTTGCTTAAATCTTCATTTCCTACCCTGTTGTATAATTGGGCCCAACTTTTCTTTTCGATCCTTGCTTCTTTTGCTTTAGTTATTTTTCTTTTTTTTTCATTTTCCCTTTCATATTTAATTTCCCTTTTTGGCCCAGGTAACGACTTCTTGACGAAAACTTGTTTTGCTGCAAATTAAATTGTCAACATTTTATTGCCCCTTTCCAAATCTTCAGCTCACAAACATCTTATTTTCTTATGTTTATCATACAATTTTTATGAGTGTTGAAATTGTGACCTATTTTGGATCCCCTACACTTTAAAGGTTAGTTCAAAATAATATCAAGAAATATTTTCTTAACTTTGGATTATGTTAATCTACTTTGTAACACCTTAATCCAGTCTGACTCGAAATCCAAAGGATTAGAATGTCACACGGAACCACCACCTAAGTGGAAAACCTTTTTTTTAACATTTAACCAAATTTCAAAATTCGAAAGTAATAATAATACTAAATACTGGATGCAACACGTTAATTTTTTGGGAGCTCCCATGAGTAACTCAAAATACATAAATCCAAGTCAAGTTTATGAATCAATAATAACAAAAGTATATGATAACACTTTCCCATTATAATACTCGAGATGTACTAGAAGATTATCAAATCTGGAAATCCTAAGTCTGGCGACGAGCTCCTCAATTGGTACCAAAGAACATGTGCATGAAAACACATTTCATACGTTGAGCTCACAAGCTTAGTGCCACGAAAATAACCCAACTATACTACATGCATCCAACATATATGCATGCGACTACATAACATTGGCATACATTAATACATCAATAAGGTAAGCATCATGGTGTAGTTCTTACATGGGTACTTTAAGTAAGATATGCGTTACATAGCATTAACATCTTACCTTACCTTAGGCTAAGTTCGGGTCACATAGCATTGGTACCTAGCCAAGCTAGTCTACATGGGACGTGTCTGGGTCACTAGATTAGATATATCCTGATAATCCTTACCCCATTACACAAGTCGATGAATGATAAGAATCTATTATAATGATTTGTCATGCTTTACAACATGTGTAAAATCCCAAAAGCTTCACCATGAATTCCTTCATGTTTCACATGTAAGCAATTGTTCAATTAAATACTGGGACTTGGAACTAAACTGGAACTTTCCAACTCCCATATGTCCTTAGATATCTGCAATTCAAACCTCAAGTCCTTAGATCCTCAACTTCTTGGCTATGATCTTCAGTATGAGGATCTTCTAGAATTACCCCTGCAATTCAAACCTCAAGTCCTTAGATACCTCAACCAAAGAAATAAAACATGTGATTAGAAGCAAACAAGCATGCATGCTAAAATAAAACTTGCATGAATGCGTTTTTTTTCAAGATATCCATATTTGTAATAGAACAGCATAGGCATTCCCAAGAAGTTGTACTACAATTGAGAACGATGAAGAAGAATGAGATGTATTCATAAGGAGAAAACCTCAAAAAATAAATAATAATAATATTAAAACATTAAAGGACTAATCAAGGTTGAAAGTTTCCAAAAATCATAGAGCAAACAAGTTAGAACACCAATACAAAAGTGTATGCATTAGAGAGAATAGTATGATTAAAGAAGATCCATATAAAGAAACCAAAAAAATCCAAAAACATCAACCACAAACATACTCTACATTTGCCAAGGAAATATCACAATTGAATTCAAATGCAAAGATCCATAATGGCAATTGAAAAAAAAAAGAAGATAAACACATAATACATAGAAGCCTTGGAAAAAGTTGTAAGGTGTTATTATATGAATTGACATGACAATAGCATAAAGTGAAAAGTGGCATAACAGATAAGTTGAACGTTGTTCTGAATGAAACACAACACCATATCCTGTTTTACCTCCATCAAACGAAGTTCATACAATCAGAGCAACATCTATGTAATATGCATACAGGTATAAATTAATTCTAAAATCTAATTTGTGGGGTCGAGAGAAATACCTGCTCTTTTCAAAACAAGTTCTTCCCTCCCCATTGCATATAAACAAGTTCTTCCCTCCCCATTGCAGTGTTCTTGTATTGAAGGGCATATGTAATTTGAAAGAAAGAAAAAAGTCAATGCTAAATGCACACCAACTCAAATATCAAAAAAATTATTGAACTTTTCAACCTATATTCAACTCAAATACAAGTCGAAAACTCAGGTCTAAAAGACCCACCTGTTCAACTAGAAAAGTAATGCCACCATGATTAACCATTTCATAAGTCTCCCCAAGTATGGGATTGAATGGTTTCCAGGTACGTTGATAGGCATAATAGACATATATAGCCCATGAAGCTGCAATTAGCTACCATCAGTCACCTATTTAAACTTAGAAAGAAATATAAGTTAGAAGAAACCTTACTAGTGTAAACTAATCGCATGTAAGGATCTTCGCATTCATCAGCCAGATCTAGCAGGTATGAATACTCCATTTTTTGCAATGTCAAAAAAGAACCAAACACAGCAAATAACTTTAAAGCAGTGGTTGGATATGAAAACACAAACCTCAACCATTTTCTGCAACATTGACTCAAAAATAAGAACTAAACAAACAGATCACACCAAGAGAATAAATTAATACGAATATGAACAAATAAACGAAATCCACAACAAGAGAATCATATACAGAACAAACCCAAAATTAAAGCGATAATAAGAAGAAAGGGAACCGACCTGGCTTCAAAGAGCGATAGAGTACCCGACCATTTAGCCCGAATCACAACTTGAACGTTCTTCGGCCTTTGATTTTGAGCTCCAACAAAAGCGAAACCACAAATTAATAAACAAGTGAGGAGGAACAAAATGCCAAAGCGAGATCTGAAAGGTGTATCCGTTTGGGTAAAATGAAAGTATATATTTCCCCAATCGATTTTCTATATTATTTCAAATGGAATTACATCCGACATTGATGAGTTAGAGATCGAGCTTTGGGGAGAAATGAAGGATTGCTTTCAGGAAACAAACAAATTTAACCTTAGTTTATATTCTAATGAGTAATCCAAACATACCTGTATCAAATAAAAAAACTTCAAAATTCATTTACTCTTTTTCTAACAAACTAGATCTATTCAACTTCTACCTTATTATCCTTTTCTATGATACTACAGCCGCGAGAACAATCTTTCGTTGTACTGAAGAGTATAACAGAAATGAGGAAACTAAGGGTCATAGACATACCACAGACATTGCTTCAGGGTATTGCTGTAGAAGATCGCTCAGACAAACTCCAAAACCTTAAAAAACGGATGAAATTTTTAGAGGAAAATATTAAGAGGTTTTCGTTAACATAAACAAAAGCACAAAATATGAAAATAAAAGAAAGGGAATGGATGAGAAATCTTATCAGGAGAAATCTTACTAGGAAAAAATTAATTTTTTGCCTGAACAGAAGCGAGGTCACGGAGAGAAAAAGAGAAAAGGTATTTTAGCCCAAACGCCCGGAAATAAACAAAGACTTATGGATTATGTGAGAATGACATTCTCAGTAATGAAGTTAAAAAATTTACTGTTGGCAATGAGATAATACCTCAAGTGAAAATCTTTCTCATCCAAACATGAGTATTATAATCTGAAAAAAAAATATTCCTACCAGTAATCTTCTAATCCATGATCTAAACGCCCTAATTAGGATATTATAAAGTTTTTGTAATGATGGAACAAATGGTGCGTTAGGTTCACTCATGCCCCTAGAATAATCGTCTACGCATGTCACCCTCAGGCCGTACCTAACCCCATTGGTGCACATCCTCCAGTCCCATTAAGTACGAGCAAAATGTGCCCAACCTGACCAATCGTGCATCACACATTGATGTGAACCCATATCGAGCCCGTCAACTTTTGTACCTAAAAGTTAAAAAATTAAAAATATTCATTAATTATTAAACTTTGTGGTATTTATCTTAAAATTTAATTTATATAATAATATAAATTATTAATATATATATATATATATATATATATATTAAGATTCAAAGTGTATTCATGTTTTAAAAGAGGAGCTTTAATCCTAAAAGTCATAATTTTAATCTCAAATTCTCTTTTGAAAAGAATTCTGAAGGATAACCGACTCCACCCAATTTTAAAAACTTCATTATCCTGATAATTTTATTAGAAAACCATTCAAATAATTAAAAAAACATCATTATGATACTTTTTTAATATTTACTAAACTAGCATATTTTCTAAAATCAAGGTAGAAAGGCGCGATTGGGGTAACACATTTTATACATAGGCCAAAAAGGCACATCTCAGAAGGTATACCTTTGTTGAGGCGACATAACTAGAGTTGTAAATGAGACGAGACAGATCGCGAGCTATTCGAGATCGACTTAATCAAGGCTCGATAAATACTCGGATCGAATGGACTCGACTCGAACTCAAGCTCGACTCGAATTCTTAACGAGCCGAAACGAGCTACTCGATATTCGACTCGAAAAGCTCGTGAGCTACTCGAAAAGCTCGTGAGCTACTCGAAAAAATGTTATATTATAATTTTATATTTTTTAAAATTACATTATTAAAATAATATTGATAATTATAAATTTAAAATATATTAAATTCTATAATACAACTAAGACGTCTCATCCCTTATAATTATGTGATAGGGTTTAGGGTTTAGGATTTAGTATTTAAGGTTTAAGGTTTAGGGTTTAGAGTTTATGATTTAGGGTTTAAGTTATGCACATGAAGCTAACATAGAAATTATGCAAAATGATGTTATGTGACTCCTAAATAAATCATTTACATACTTATACATAAACATATCAACATGTAAATATATATACACTACTTAAGAAGGCATCCTAAACATGGACTAATTATTACCTAAACTAAGTGTGCTTACACGATACATGCATGCATACGAATGAAATGCAAATGCACATACTTAAGAAAACAAAGATTAACCTACTATTAATAACTTAAACTCATTTTAAAATGCCAAGAAGACCAAACATATAAAACTGAAAATAGGCATACAAAGTAGAAATTATTCATTAATTAAACTGTGCAAGCATTTCAATTGTTACAGGGTCAACAACATCCTGCAATTGAAACTGAGTACTTTTTAATCCTATAAAGATCTGATAATAGAACGCCAAGAACTACAACAGCAAATTAAAGGAACAACAAGTGAAAAAAGAAAGAAAAAGAGTGAGATAGTTTATTAATTGTTTGGCAAAAAGAGATTCATTTGAATTCTTTTTTCCTTGCCAAACTTCTCCTTATCCAATCAGTAAGTGGCTCACAACATTAGTATTACTATTACTATTCATGTTCGCTTTCTTTATCAATCACTTCTTGCTTTTGTTGTTTTTCATTTTATGTTTCTATTTTATTTACGCTTTGTGTTTATCTCATGATTAATGAGATGAAATTATAGCAGATCTGATTAGATTTTGTTTCTTCTCTTCGTTTGAATCTGACTGTCATTTTATTTTATTTGTTTTTGTCTTGTTGTGTTTATGAAATTCTGAGATCTGGTACCTGTTTGTCTGAAGCTGTGTTTGATCGTGAATTCGGTTTTTTCCTGCTTCAACAAAATTTGCATATGTTAATTATTGTTTTTCATCTTATAAGGCATCAAAGTTTACTGATGGTGAGCCTGGACCATCATCGCCACTACAAAGGTTCATCAAGCCTGCTTCTGTGGGATCAGTTGATTCTCACAAAGCTTCTAAACCCAGCAAACTGAATACTGGAACCCCATCTCGTGGAAATAGATTAAGCCAGTCAGTTTCATCGTTGCCTGAAACGAAGAAGGACATTGGCGGTGTAACTTCTGATATGAGGTATCCATGGCAAGATTAGGAGATTATCAGAACCGAAAACAAGTAGCAACCCACTTGTTTCTTCAGTGAAGTCACGGACTCCGAGCCATCAAAGAAACAAAAGTATCTGGTGTGCCTGAAAGCAAAAAATATCAGCAATTGTGAACCATGATAAAAGTAAGATTGTGTCTCTTCCCGAGCTAAAATTAAAACAACTAAAGCCCCTGATATTACCAGCAGCAAATCTGAAGGAAATGCAATGACTCAGAAGGTGACTAGAAGTATTTCTTCGACCACCGATGTTAATGAACCAAGTAGGAACAAGGGTTTCACTTAATGGCGATGAGGATGACAGTACAGTGGTTGAGAAAACTGTTGTGATGCTTGAATCTATTCCTGCAGTAAACTCGTCAGAAGGAACTACTGTAGTTTAGAAGGAAAATGATGGTATCGCTAAAATTAGGAGGGAAACTGAGATGAAATCAGATTATGCTGCTATTCATGCACCATTTTCTTCATTGAATCTTGAAGCACTTGATAAAGAACACCAGATTCAACAAAAACCATGAGCTTATGAGGTTCAAAAGGGAAACGTAAGTAACACTGAGAAGGAATCGTCAAAATTTACATGCACAAGTGTTGCTGAAAACCAGTATCAAGCCCCTTTAGCTCGGGTCTCTTCTTTGGTAGATCCATGTACTGAAATTTCTAAGTATGACAGAGCATCTCCAACTAGCATGCAGGTTCCTGCAATAATAGACTCAGGGAATGTTAGAGCTCTTGTAGTTGACACTAGTGACTTAAAACTAGAAAAGATTTCTGAAGTGTTGAATAAGCCTCAGGTAAAGGAGTCATCGACGGCTGTTGAAGTTTGGAAAAAAGAACCATAGCTCAACTAGAAGCGAACATAGTGTTGACTCAAACAGTGAGGTTGAAGAGTTGGTTGTGAACGTTGTCTCTTCTAGTGAAGTTCATACGTTGAAGAATCTGATCTCTCAGGATAAGACCCTGACAGCTGGTAATACTCCACAAAAATCTTCTCGCTCATTTTCGTTGTTGTCACCATTCCGAAGCAAGACCAGTGAAAAGAAGTATTCAGCTTGACAATGAAGTTGAATCCATGAACTTTGTTATTTTTGTTGCGGAAGACGGCTATCGGATAGAGCAAAATCGCAATTGATATTTTGAAAAAATAAAAATGAAGATAAAAGAGACACAAAATTTACGTGGAAAACCCCTAAAAATTTAGGGTAAAAACCACGGGCAACGGTAGAAGAATTTCACTATGAGAAAATAGGAATTACAACCTCTCTCGATCTACAAGGAGAAAACAATGATAATTCTCTCTAGATAAAAGGAGAAAACAACTCTCAAGAAACTCTAAAATCTCTAGTATTGGAAGAAAGCTAGAATGCTTTGGGATGATTTGAAGCTAAATGAGTTTATAGTTAAATTTTAAGGACTAATCTTGTAAATACCCTAAAGTCTAATGACTAAAATTAATTTTTCCATTCAAAATATTCACACCTAATTCATGCCTACCATTCCTTTTTCAAAGTTTTAGGTGGAATTGATTTTTTTCCAATTCCAACTTTCGGTGGGAATTTATCAATTTTCAACAATCTCCCACTTAAAATTTGATTGGAACAATCATATCTTAACATCTTTTTCTACCTTGTACCATCATGTTGCTTACATTTCGACAGACCACAAGAGGATCGACACCAAGTAAATTTATCAGTGTTGATCGCCTTTGTCATGAAATATGCTATGTTGTCTTTGGTATGGATCTTCTGCATATCTACCGTCCCTTCTTCCACCTTTTTCACGAATGAAAGGTACTGAACTCGTATGTGCTTTGTCCTTGAATGAAATGCTGGATTCCTTGCTAATGCAAGGCTCTTGACTGCAAAACAGAGAGACTACTCTGATTGTGCCCAAGCTCCTCCATAGCATCTTCAACCAAATTGCTTCTTTACTGGCTTATGAGCTGCTAGTAACTTTGAACACATACCTGTAGTAGATTTACTTTTATCAAAATCCTCTGCATAGTCAGAATCTACATACCCATTGATTAGTAAATTTGATCCTCCATAACATAATGCAACATTTGAGATCCCTTTGATGTATCTCAAGACCCTTTTTATTGTATTCCAATGCTCTTTTCCTGGATTCGCCATGTAGTGACTAACCACTCCCACTGCTTGTGCAATGTCTGATCTTGTGCATATCATAGCGAACATCAAACTTCTCACTGCTGATGCATATGGTACTCGAGACATCTCCATCCTCTCTTCTTCACTGCTAGGACTCATACTGGAGGATAATTTGAAGTTAATAGGAAGAGGGTAGAAATTGGCTTACAATCTTGCATGCTAAATCGTGACAAGATTTTCTTCAAGTAATTCTTTGTGAAAGCCAAATCTTCTTATTACTTCTATGTCGGTGAATTTGTATCCCTAGAATCTTGTTTGCTGATCCCAAGTCCTTCATTTCAAATTCCCTAGCCAGTTGTACCTTCAATTCTTCAATATGATCTTTGTTGGGTCCTGCAACCAACATGTCATCCACATACAACAGCAATATAACAAAATCGTTATCACCAGACCTCTTGAAATAAGCACAAGGGTCTACATTAAGTTTTTTGTATCCAAGGCAACATAATGAAGGAATCAAATCTCTTATACCAACACCTCGGCGCCTGCTTTAGACCGTACAGAGATTTGTTCAACCTGCAAACCAAGTTCTTCTTTTCGTCTTCTTCAAAACCTTTAGGTTAGAGCATATAAATCTCTTCTTCAAGATTTCCATGAAGAAAAGTTGTTTTAACATCTAGTTGCTCTAGATGTAAGTTCAATGTAACACACATTGCCAAAATTACTCGAACTGTTGTTAGTCGAACCACAGGAGAAAATATTTCATTGAAATCAATATCTTTCTTTTGAGCATATCCTTTGACCACCAGTCTTTCACGATACCTCTCAACTTGATCATCACCATTTCGCTTGATTTTGAAGACCCATTTGTTACCAATTGGCTTCCTTCCTTGTGGTAGTGGCACAAGGTCCCATATATTATTTTTATGAAGGGCTTCAATTTCTTCTTGCATCGCCATCATCCACAGTGAAGCATCTGAGTTGTTTATTGCCTCCTGGTATGTTGATGGCTCACTGTTCTCTGTTAAAAGGCAGTATGCAATATTACCTTCTATAACATAATCTGAGTGCCAATTGGGACGTCTTCTCACACGATCTGATTGACGAGTTGTTGGAGCTTCAGAACTCTCTGGTTCTTGTTCATCATGTGCTGGTTCTGCTTCAGAAGAATCTCCTTCTTCAAACTCTTTTTCCACATGTATCTGAGTAGTATATGACTTTTCAGCGCTATCATCGTCTTCTTTTCTTTGTAGTTTATCTTCTACAAAGATAACATCTCTACTAATGATCACTTTGCGGGCAGTGGGATCCCACAAGCGATACCCCTTTACTCCATCAATATACCCCAAGAATTTGCATTTCCTGGATTTTGGATCCAACTTTGAAATTTCTTGGGAGTTGTACATCACATACACTATACCTTCCAAATATATGGAGATTTGAATAATCAGCTGGTTTTCCAGTCCACATCTCCATTGGTGTCTTCAGCTCTATTGCAGTTGATGGAGCTCGATTCACCAAATAACAGGCGATATTGACTGCTTCTGCCCAGAATGATTTTTCTAGGTCTGCATCCCTCAACATTGCTCTTGTTCTTTCTAACAAGGTTATGTTCATCCGCTTTGCCACTCCATTTTGTTGAGGAGTGTTCGCTACTGTGAACTGTCTTTTGATGCCTTCTTTCCTGCAAAAGTCATCAAATTCTTCGCTTGTGTATTCTCCTCCATTATGTGTTCTGAAACACTTGATCTTATTTCCAGAATCAAGTTCCATCCGCGTTTTAAAGTTTTTGAAAGTTGAAAACACATCGGACTTCTTCTTAATAGGGTACACCCAACATCTCCTGGAGTAGTCATCAATAAATGAGACAAAATATTTTACTCCGCCTAGGGATGTAACTGGTGCTTGCCATACGTCAGAGTGAACCAGTTCTAGAACAATTTTGCCTCTAGAATTTGATGTGTTGAATTTCACCGATGCTGCTTACTTGTTATGCAATGCTCACATAAAGTAAGTGATACCTTTGTTAAGCCTGGAAGTAGCTTTTGCTCCACAAGGACTTTCATTCCTTGTTCTGACATGTTTCCAAGTTTCTGATGCCATAGCATTGCAGAATCTGAACTACATGAGGCAACAGAGGCTTCTGCTTCTAGCAAAGTTTCTCCCTTCAGCATGTATAAGTTTGCAGCTATCTTTTCGCCTTTCAGCACCACAAGCGCTCCACAAAACACCTTCATGATTCCTTTCTGTGTTTCAATCTTACTTGCATTATTATCCAAAAATCCGTAGGATAATAAATTTTTCTTCAGGTCTTTCACGTGTCTCACATCTCGAACAATTTTAATTGTTCCATCATACATCTTCAATTTGATGGTCCTCACGCCAACGATCTCTAAGGCATGATCATTGCAACTATACACAGATCCTTCTGAGACAGGTTCATATTGATGGAATCATTCTCTTCTTGAGGTCATGTGATATGTTGCTCCTGAATCAATGAGCCATATATCTGTAAATCTTTTTCTTCCTTCCACGGTGGTTGACGCTTCACAGCATAGAGCATCTCCATTGCAAATGCCATACATTAAGATGAAATAATATAAGATTAAACCTACTATTAATAACTTAAACTCATATTTTAAAAATGCCAAGAAGGACCAAAACAATATAAAACTGAAAATAAGCATACAAAGTAGAAATTACTCATTAAATTAAACTGTGCAAGCATTTCAATTGTTACAGGGTCAACAACATCCTGCAATTGAAACCGAGTGCTTTTTTAATCCTATTAAGATCTGATAATAAAACCCCAAGAACTACAACAACAAATCAAAGGAACAACAAGTGAAAAAAGAAAGAAAAAGAGTGAGATAGGTATTAATTGTTGGCAAAAAGATTCATTTGAATTCTTTTTTCTTGCCAACTTCTCCTTATCCAACAGTAAGTGGCTCACAACATTAGTATTACTATTACTATTCCTGTTTCACTTTCTTTATCAATCACTTCTTTGCTTTTGTTGTTTTTCATTTTTATGTTTCTATTTTATTTACCGCTTTGTGTTTATCTCATGATTAATGAGATGAAATTATAAGCAGATCTGATTAGATTTTGTTTCTTCTCTTCGTTTGAATCTGACTGTCATTTTATTTTATTTTGTTTTTGTTCTTGTTTGTGTTTAATGAAATTATGAGATCTGGTACATGTTTGTCTGAAGCTGTGTTTGATCGTGAATTCGGTTTTTTCCTGCTTCAACAAAATTTGCATATGTTAATTATTGTTTTTCATCTTATAAGGCATCAAAGTTTACTGATGGTGAGTCTGGACCATCATCGCCACTACAAAGGTCCATCAAGCCTGCTTCTGTGGGATCAGTTGATTCTCACAAAGCTTCTAAACCCAGCAAACTGAACACTGGAACCCCATCTCGTGGAAATAGATTAAGCCAGTCAGTTTCATCGTTGCCTGAAACAAAGAAGGACATTGGCTGTGTAACTCCTGATATAAAGGTATCCATGGCAAGGATTAGGAGATTATCAGAACCGAAAACAAATAGCAGCCCACTTGTTTCTTCAGTGAAGTCACGGAACACCGAGCCATCAAAGAAAACAAAAGTATCTGGTGTGCCTGAAAGCAAAAAAATATCAGCAATTGTGAACCATGATAAAAGTAAGATTGTGTCTCTTCCCGAGCTAAAAATTAAAACAACTAAAGCCCCTGATATTACCAGCAACAAATCTGAAGGAAATGCAATGACTCAGAAGGTGACTGGAAGTATTTCTTCGACCACCGATGTTAATGAACCAAGTAGGAACAAGGAAAAAGTTTCACTTAATGGCGATGAGGATGACAGTACAGTGGTTGAGAAAACTGTTGTGATGCTTGAATCCATTCCTGCAGTAAACTCGTCAGAAGGAACTACTGTAGTTTAGAAGGAAAATGATGGTATCGCTAAAATTAGGAGGGGAACTGAGATGACATCAGATTATGCTGCTATTCATGCACCCGTTTCTTAATTGAATCTTGAAGCACTTGATAAGAACACCAGATTCACAAAACCATGAGCTTATGAGGTTCAAAGGAAACGTAAGTAACATTGAGAAGGATTCGTCAAAATTTACATGCACAAGTGTTGCTGAAAACCAGTATCAAGCCCCTTTAGCTCGGGTCTCTTCTTTGGTAGATCCATGTACTGAAATTTCTAAGTATGACAGAGCATCTCCAACTTGCATGCAGGCGCCTTCAACAATAGACTCAGGGAATGTTAGAGCTCTTGTAGTTGACACTAGTGACTTAAAACTAGAAAAGATTTCTGAAGTGCTGGATAAGCCTCAGGTAAAGGAGTCATCGACGGCTGTTGAAGTTTGAAAAAAGAACCATAGCTCAACTAGAAGCGAACATAGTGTTGACTCAAACAGTGAGGTTGAAGAGTTGGTTGTGAACGCTGTCTCTTCTAGTGAAGTTCATACGTTGAAGAATCTGATCTCTCAGGATAAGACCCTGACAGCTGGTAATACTCCACAAAAATCTTCTCGCTCATTTTCGTTGTTGTCACCATTCCGAAGCAAGACCAGTGAAAAGAAGTATTCGGCTTGACAATGAAGTTGAAGCCATGAACTTTGTTATTTTCCCTTTTTGCAACCTGAAAAGATTAGGTACCATTACGAATATGTTTGTAAAATGTTCTTTCTGCAGCCAGTCATTGGTTGTTTTTGAACTGAAATCTGTTTCTAGCAGACTTTTCCACCTGACTTATTTACTCTCTTTTGTATCAAAAAAAAAATTAAGTGCTCGAGGTATGATGGTTCCATTGCCATGTTGAATCGAAGTTTTCGTTCCTTGATCAGGAGGGAGATCTATAAGTTGAGGCAGAACGGTTTGTTAAGCATTGGGTTTACTTTTCAGAAGCTTTGTTTTGAAGCAGAGATCAAAGATGAGAGTGAAAAGAAGCTTGGAATATATGGATTATGCATGGGCAATGGTTCAACAACACTCCAAGAAACTAATTAAAATTAAAATTAAAACTAATTGAATAAGTTATTCACATAGATGATCAAAGAGTGTCAAAGAACTAGACAAATTATATAATCAACTACAAGTAAATTCATCGATTAGTTTCAAATATATTTCATGTTTTAGACTGTGAAAATGCATGGGCAATGGTTCAACAACACTCCAATTTTTCTATGATCAACTATATAACACTCAAAGTAAGATTTCATACTCTCGATTTCAACAAAATCGCATGATTCCTTATTCTACACAAAACAAAGTAACAAATTATATTTTTCTATCGAGGAAGACCTAAATCACTACAAGAAACTATACCAAAATCACTACAAGAACCATAATTCTTTCGGACAATGAAAACTTACAATGTTTAGTTGGCCCTAAATTTTATAAAGTGTCACCTACTTTAATTTGCTTCTTGGTCATATGCATAAGAAATAAACCTATAAGTGTGCCACTTTCTTTCAAGTAGTATTAATAGAGTTATTTGGGCACACAAAGTGCTCAATTACATAACCAATTAGTAACTATAACAAACCTAATTTAAATATTCTCATCAAAATATTTCTTAACAAAATTTAACTCATAATAAAAAATATTTAAATATTTTAACATATAAAAGATATTCAATTTTAATTAATATGAACCCTAATTTATATTTCAATAGTAAATATAAGAAACTCTAACTTAATAGATTAAGTAAAATTCAAAAATTAAAGATTATATGGAAAAAGATAGAAGAACTATATCTCACATTGCTAGTAAATATAACTTAAGCACTCCACTATACTTGTATAAACTAAATCATTAAGCTCTTAAACTCAAGGATCTAATTTGTATCAAATTATATTATTGATTCTTATAATTTTATTTTTTAATTTGTTTTAAAATATATTTTATGAAAATTTGGGAAAGTCTCACCCATGGGAACGTGTCATGCCACCTCAACGAAGGTGTGTCCCTTGGGATGCACCTTTTTGGCACATGTATAAAGAGCGTTTGGGGAAACATGCCTCCTTACCTCAATTTTGAAAAGGGTGTTAGCTTAATAAATATTGAGAAAAGGGTGTTAGAATAGTATTTTTTTTATTATTTGGGTTATTTTCGAATAAAATTACCCATTATCCTGATTTCCTTCGTCAAAATAAAGCAAAGCAGCCCTTATTTTGTCGTTTAACTCTTTCCCCTGAACTGCTGCATAATTTCTTTGGCAAAACAAAAATGAAGAGTGGAACCCTCCACTATTTGTTCCCAGCATTAAGAATGCCATTTTTTAAGGAGTTAATTAATTAATTGTGTGAAGAATGGAAGGAATGTATCCAAATTTTTATAGATGCATACATCAATTCAACGCCTAAATCTGTCAGCGACGATATTAACCAAACGACCTTCGATACCGCATCGGCAACACTGCAATAATTTACCTCCATGGTTGATCTAGACACTGACTTTTGTCGTCAAGAACACCACGACACGAGATTTCTTCCCAAAAACACACGATATCCTGTAACTGACCGCCCACCATTCGTGTTGTTAGCCTAATCGGCGTCAACAAAAGCAAAACTGTCAGTGGATCCTTTTGATGCCTCAAGGCATAGACCATGATTTATAGTGCCACGTAGATACCGCAAAATGCATTTGATGCCAGCCAATGCTCCTCCTCTGTTACTGCATATTATGCATTTGAGAGAATTGTAAATGCATGGTGTCCTGAGTAAACTCGATCGGCTCTTATATTGTGTGGTCAAATGATATCAAATAAATCAATTTAACATGTCACATTAGTGTTTTGTTACTGAGATAACAATTATTAATGAACAACCGATTTATTATAAAACAATAATATTAGTGATGTTTTTGTTAATTTTGAAACTTGTGTGATGAAAAAACATGCTTATGCTCTAGTAATCATTTATGTAGTTTATCTAAAAAATATTAAATTATATTTAAACTTTAATTAATGGGTAACATAATACAATCTATATTCTTTAATCACCCGGTAAGTATATGTTTTTTTAGATAAAATGTATATATTATTATCCAAAAGCAAGACAACAGACTCAAAATGAACAACCCTATACACAAAACAACCAAGTTCCCAAGCTATACCCCCAACAGTAAACAAACTATTTCAAACAGCTCCTATATGAACTGTACAATCAATCACTAATTTCCCAAGCTATAGAAATTTGAGAATAAAGGTTCCCTATATTAATTTTAAAAAACTTCGCCTGCACCACCTCCCGAATTAAACCGACAAGTTCAGCATTTGATCTAACATCCAGTTGACTAAAACAACGCCTATTCCGTTCCTCTCATATGTAATAGATGCAAGCATTCTAAACTAACTTGAGGAGACGAGTGAAGAAAGACTTACCTTTAAACATGGCAATTACCCATTTTAGCTCCTCCTCCCAGCACTGTGCTCTTCACCTCAAGCCATATCTAGCAAGGGTCATCTCCCAAACAGTAGTCGATACCTCACAGCCAAAGAAAAGGTGATTGCGGGACTCCATCCCCGCCCCCACACAGTCCACACACACACTTTCCACAGACATTCCCATGCGCAACAATATGTCCTTAGTTGCCAACCGATCAAGTGCAGCCACCCAAGAGAGTATAGCATGTCGAGGAACATGTATAGGAAACCATATCACCTTCTGCCAAGAAACCCGATCCCTCTTCATTCTTATCGCATACCATATCTTCCTTGTTCTCAACTGCTGCCAAGCAATACCAAAATTCTCACTTACCTCCTTCAAAAGTCCACGAAGCGAGAACAATTTCCTCAAGCTCCAACTAGCACCTCCCTATGGTTCAAACTCCCAATTGTCCCCCCATTAACAACATAGGCCCTAACCCAAGCCACCCACTAAGACCCCTCATTCGCAAGTGGCTTCCTCAGTAGCTGAATGACGTAGGCCCTATTCCAACATGACAAGTTTTTCAAACCAAGACCGCCTTCAGTTTTGGGAGAGCAAATACGCTCCCAACTAATCCTTGCACCGGTCGTAGGCGTATCCGCACCCTTTCAAAAAAATCGCATACACAATTACTCCACCCTTTTCACTATCACTTTAGGCAAAACAATCTGTCTGCTCCAAAAATTCGTAATACTATATATCACAGATTGTATCAACTGCAACCGCTGACATAGCTTAGCCACCTATTCTCCCAATGCCCTAATTTAGCTCCAATGGAAGTCAACAAGCTCTGACAAACCTTCTCAAATAATTTCGAGTCACTAGCGGAACACCTAAATAACGGACTGGTAGCGACCCCATCTTAAATCCCACCATCTCCTTAATACGATCCAACTCCCCCGGAAACGCACTTTACAGCTTTAGGAAAATATGTTTAAAAGATTGAATTTAAATATTTTTAAAAATTCATATATAAATAATTTGATATTTGAAAAATTATAACAATAAATTTATTATTTTTGTGTTGTCAAAAATATTTTTAATAACATAAAAATAATTTTTTTGAATTGAAAGCAAAGCCTAAACTATGCTAGGAAGTTAAGGGGCAGATGTATGCCCGTAGGCAACTTCATCAGCTAGCAAGACTGCAATTTTCGGAGGCAGTATGACACAAAGGATCAGGTTGTAGTTGGATACCATGGGGAGCTTAGCGAGCCTTAAGTAACTTTGTTGCCTGACCTAGGAATCTAGTGGAACTGAAGTTTTCACTCATCGTGTTGCAGTAGGGAGACTGCACGCACAAGAGGATGGTGGCTGCGGGGATAGTCAAAGGCAGTAAGGAAATGGATAGCTTGTAAGTTGTCATTTTAAACCATGAGCTTTGTGAGGCCCATAGAGCGAGCTATCTGAAGGCCTTCATAGATTCCTACAGTTCAGTTTGTAAGGTCGTGCTAATGCCAATGTTCTTCATGAAGCCAACAATCCAGTTACCTTCTGTATCCCAGAGAACACCGCCTAGGGAGCTTCATCCATTTGTCGGGGAGACAGCTCCATATGTATTCAAGCAGAGCCAGCCAGGAGGAGGCTTCTGCCATGCTTCCTCGTCGGTGGGGGAGGCACTTGGAGTCTGAGGTACTGGAAAGCACACTGCTTAGCAGGGTTTCAAATCGCGTCGCGGTCGCATTTTTGGTTATTTCGGATTTACCGTGATTGTGGCCATCGCGGGCGCTATTACGGCCGTCGCGGACACTATTGCGGTCGTCGCGGGTAACTCGGATTCAACGAAACCGCTATATCACGGCCGAAATCGCGGTCGCGGACCGTTTTTTAAAATCCTGCTTAGTTTAGGCAGCAGAGGACAGTCCGTATGGTCATGGGGGTCACATTGTTGAAAACGAGGTCGTTTCTTTGCTTCCAGATTTGCCATATGGAGGAAGCAAATATGGAATACCAAGAAATTTTGCCACCGTCACACCTCTAGCGGTAGTGGAGATTCCCCAGCAGCCAATCTTTCAGGCAGGTAGAATGACGATTGTATGGATTAGGGCAGAACCCAGCTCAGACACCACGTGTGTGGATGCAGTCCCTCAAAACATGCAGGACTGATTCAAGTTGGGCACCACACGCAGGACAAGAGACATTGGCAGTGAGTTGTCAGTTCCCTCTTTCTTGGTTCGTCATTAGCTTTTCTTTGAT